TGACCTAGAGAGAGCGCCATGCCACGACTTGGTGTTACGGGCCTGAATTCCCCTCATGAAAGGTCTGCATTGTGGCTTCATGTATTGGCCACGAACCCAAATAGTTTGTTGAAGTGATTTAGGAGGATTGCTAACCCCTTAGAGAGAGTTCTGAAATTGTTAGTGAAGGCAGTGGGGGGCGGGGGGATATGATTGCTTTGTAAAAAAATGATGTCTCCGCCAAAGTCAGGGATGAAGTGTACTGATGTCTATAGCTTACATGGAAATTCATCAAAAAATAAGATGGACTGATGGGTAGGGAGAGGGATGCCAGATGGCGGGGTTTTGTGGTAAAGCAAATGGAAAAAAACGCTCATTGGAAAATCCAGGTGGCAGTTATATGGACTCGTTGTGCAGTTCGTTCAACTTTGCTGAAAGGTCGAAACTTTTCATAACAAAATGTTGGGAAAAAAGGATACTTGTATTATTTTTTAAGAACACATTTATTGGCTAGGCATATCAGTTACAAACATTAAATCATCAACGCGCACTTCCTAAACCGTGCTGATTTGTTTTCTTCCTGTTATTTCTTTTCCTCTCTTTATTGAGTAGGCTCTTTCAAATCCCAGTTCCTATATTGCTCCCTTTAGGAGAATTTCCCTGACCTTCTAGTCTGATTTAGATGTCTCTCCTCTGTGTTCCCAGAGCACCCCTTGCATCATTCTTCTGCCACAGAATTTTTTTTCCTGTACTGTGATTGTTTACTAATCTGTCCGAATCACTAGACTTGGAGTTTCTTGAGTTAAAAACCAGGAAGGTTTCTGGAACACTTTTGGTACCAGTAAGAACAAAAAACAACAACAATATGTAGACTAACAGTGGCTTAAACAAATAGGGTTTTTTTATTTCCAGTGTCAGGAGCATGGAGGCCAGCATTTCCAGTTTCCAGGATTGGTTTGGTGATGGGCACTTGGCTGGCCCTTCTGCGTTTCTCCCATCTTTCCCTTCATCAGGTCAAGTTGACCAAAGTGGTTATGTGGGTTGGAAATATCCACCGTGGTTATTTCAGTTTTTGAGCTTTGAGCACAGATACTTTGGCAGATATCTTTAAACCTGCTGAATAGTCTTCAGTTCATTTATTATGGTTTCCTGTAGAGAAATTGACTTTGTTTTTGGAAAATAACAGCTCAGAATTAGATAGATGTCTACATGGGTTTGAAAGCCTCCCCCATCCCAACCTGGAAGATTATTTCTCCATTTTCATACAATTGTAATAATTCATAGAAGCAAGGTTGCTTCAGAGAAATTGTGTGATGGATGGTCTGGAGGTTCCAACCTCATGCACCAACCTGAGCTCTCTGGGAAACACTTGTGGACCAGAAATTAGGCCAAAAGCTGTTTCACTTTCCTAAAGTGAAGCCTTTTGGGGAGGCCCATGCCTTATCCCATTTATTCTATTTTAGTCACAATTCAAATGTGCTTAATTATCTAGTTAATTGCTTAGAACACTTATTAAAAAGCACATAATTAGAATAAGAGCAGTGGGAAGAAGGCCTGGCATAGGGAAGTAAGTAAGCTGAGGTCCCGTGGAAGGGGGCAGAATGAGCAGACATCCGATTCTACTCACAGCAGCCCAAGGCTGCTCACATAACTGATCTCATGCTGAGGATGGTCCTTAAATCATCAAGGAAAGATTTAATTATGTTCAGTCTGCTCTAAGAAGACAGATGGATATAATACGTGAGAGATAACATGCCACACTTCACAAATATGATCTCAAATAGGTTTTAAATATAGGAATATATAGATTAGAATACTGGCAGGAAATCTGTTAATAGTGAATTATCTCTGGTTGGCAGAAACGTAAGTGATTTTTTTTCTCTTTTAAAGATAGTTTAGATATTTCCTAAATTTATTTATTTTTTGAAGATTTTATTTTTAAATAATCTCTGCACCTAACATGGGGCTCGAACTCATAGCCCCGAGATCAAGAGTCGCATTCTCCACTGAGCCAGCCAGAAGCCCCTATTTCCTAAATTTTCTATTGAACATTGAAAGGGTTCAGAGTATGCTATCCCAAAATATGTCGCTTTGACATAGGATTATTTTGAGCTGAAGGCAGTTGAAAAGTAAGACCAAAATAAAATTCTGTGCCTCCCCCTCTCTACCAGGAAGGGCAGGGCTATTCTGAATCACTTGAGAGCTCTAAACTTACCAGCCTAGAGAAGGCACTGGGGGAACGTGCATAACACACCATACTCACCAGCTCTTAGCATCCATCAGTTTCCCTTATATAGTATTTGCCTTCCCACGATTTGTTGCCCCTATAAGTGCAAAGTCCTTTGTTTTTTGATCTTGTCACTTCTCTACAAAATTTATTATTTTGTTAAGATGCTATGTAAGCCAAAGTTCTAACCGCCCCTTTGAGTTACTCATCACTGAGTTGTATGTGTATGTGAGATGCACAGGACTAAGCTCCTGTTTGTTTTTCTCTGTTAATCTGTTTTTTGTCAGTTAAATCTGCAGGGCCCCAGGCAATGAGCCAAAGATAGGTAGAGGAAAAAATGATAGGTTTTTCCCCCTTTCTATAGTTTTTTTTTTTTTTTTAAAGATTTTATTTATTTATTTGACAGAGACACAGCGAGAGAGGGAACACAAGCAGGGGGAGCAGGAGAGGGAGAAGCAGGCTTCCCACCGAGCAGAGAACCTGATACGGGGCTCGATCCCAGGACCCTGGGATCATGACCTGAGCCGAAGGCATATGCTTAATGACTGAGCCACCCAGGCACCCCTCCCTTTTCTATAGTTTTATAACTTTTTGTTTTAAATACTTAAAAAAATATTTTAGACATTCAGAGCAGTTCTTGTTCAACTCCTGGTCTTTTGATAATGTCATTTTTCTAACATTTTGATTTTGGTTTTTTAAAAAATGCTCAAATTATACTTTTTATAATAGTTGTCTGAAAAGTCCTACTTGTTATGGATGTGGACTCCTGTGTATGGTGATTTTCTTAGGTGGGTCATAGGTTGCAATTGTGGGCTCCTATCTGTGGGTTTTAGCTATGACTATCCTGCTCTGTTTTACTGCATGTTGTCTTCCCAGAGAGGTTTTGTTTATCACTCTGCCTTGTGCTCCAGCACCATGACCAGCCTGGGACTGCTTTTTATGTTAATTTCTTGGCTTTGGAGAAATGCTGTGGTCACAGATTTTCTGGGTACACTTCCATGCAGCTGGGGCTCAGTCAAACAAAATTCCTTGTCATTGTCCCCTGTTGGTCAACAAATGTTTTTCTAGTCCATTTTTTACCTGTAGGTGTGTTCCCCCAAGGGCCTTGGCTTCTCAGTTCTCAATTGAAAAGAGGTCTCAGTTCTAACTCCCACTTGGTCTGGGCAGCTGATCTCCTAGCCCTATGTGTTTGTTAAATCCGAAGTTACCAAGAACAGCAGCTATTCAGGACTCCAGGAATAGCAGCTCTTACTGCCCTGATTGTTTTTGCCCTACATGGGGATTTCTTACTTTCTTTTGAGCTCAGCTGTGTATGTAAGAGAACTTTTCAACCTTGGATGTCCACTATAATCACCTGGAAAGCTTTTAGAAGTCCCCATGCCGAGGCTGCATGCCAGGCCAATTCCATCAGAGGCTCTGGGGTGACACCCACGCATCAGGATGTTTTTAAAGCTCCCAAGTGATTTCCATTGTGCAGCCAAGGATGGAAGCCACTGATCTAAAGCAATGTTGTTTTATTTTGCCTGGATGATTTATGTGTGTGCTATGTATATTAATTTATTGTTCTAGTGGTGGTGTTTTCAAGTTACCTGGTCAGCAGTAATGGAAATAGGAGCCTGTCATATTGTAATTAGAAAAAAATTTAAAATTTTAAAAAGTTAGAATTTGCTAGGAAGGAAACCAGCCTTTATTTAGTTTCTACTGGGTGCTAGGTACTGTGCTTAGGTCGTTCACATATGTTGTCTCATTTAATCCTCAGGAGAATCCTGCAAGGTAGGGATGGTTGGTTTTTGCAGATAAAAAACTGGCTTGGAGAAATCAAATAGTTCTAAGTCTCACAGCTCACTGATGGCAGACCCAGGCTCATGAACCATGAGATGCCCAGCCCCACGCCCTTTTCCTTACCCTGTGGTATATGTGAAATAGGCTTTTCCATACACGTTAGTTAAAATAAAAATTGGCACTGGGGTTAAAATAAGTTCCAGGTATCTGTTAAATTTACTTATTTGGAAAATTTTGTCTTCCCACTAATTCCAGGGATTCTTGCCCCTTTATCTCACATCTGATGTTAAACTGATTTTGACTAATCAATTGTTATTATAGGAAATTTTAACTCACTTTAGTTCACCACTTTAAATACACTTGGAGAAAATAGTTTAGTTCTCCTTCTTTTAACTCTGTCATGTGCCACGAAGGGGTGCTTATTATAAAAACTGCATTTACTCATCCCCTTCCCGAGCACCTCCATGGCCTGTGTGGGGGGCTGTGTGAGTGTGTGTGCTGTAGGTAGAGGTACAAGGGGAGGTGAGGAGTAGAATAAAGAGGTGGAGGCTCAGGTCCCTGAGTGCTGGTGTTCTCTGGGGTACCAGATAACTTGGAGTAGGGGTGGAAAGTGGGACTTGGAGCTCTGTGGTCACTCCACCTCAGTGAAGCACTTTTGAGGATATATTGATTTCATATATCATATATCAATATGAAATCATATATTGATTTCATATTGAGGATATATTGATTTCTAGTGGCAGGTTGTCTTCCCCCACCCACCCAGCAATACAGGCGTTGGATGTGCATACCCATTTTTTCCCTCTTTCTGTCCTGCTTTCTCTCTGGCTCTGCTGTGGTACATGACATGTGGGGTCGTTGGAGGGGTTGTTTTATCTCTGCGTGGAACCTTGAAGATTTATTTCTCTGTCGGAATTTCTGGGTTAGGCTTTTCTGGTGCATGTGGATTTCATTTCATTTTAGTTGGGTAGAAATCAAAATGCTTCTAAGTCTTTGTCTTGTTCATTGGCAGCTCTTCAACTAGGTCTTCTGTTCGTGTGTTGCAACCGCAGAAAACCAGCAGGATGGCCACAAACAAGAGTAAGAGCCAGAGCTCCTTGGCCCTTCACAAGGTGATCATGGTTGGCAGTGGAGGGGTTGGCAAGTCGGCCCTGACGCTTCAGTTCATGTATGATGAGGTAAGACACGCCAGGCACAGACGGCTTTCACCATCGAGTCTGCTGTAATAATGTCTCTTCTACAGCTGTGTCCATGTGCTCATTGCCTCACAAACATGGAGGATCATGGGGCAAATTTGTGTTAACATGGTTTCTGAATAGCTTTCTGGGGGGTCTAACCAGCATAAGACCTGGGTGGCTGATTTTTGGTAAGTAATTTCAACTGTGGTTAGGGCTGTGAGGGGATCCCTGCTTCCTTGATTTCCATCGTGCTTTGAGCTTTCTTTTTGACACAAGCAAGGGAGGAGGCTGTTTCTAAAGAACAGGTCAGATACTTAGCTTTGTAACAGTCAAATTGGGGAGATATTGAAAGGGAGAGCTAAGTTGTCATAGGACAGTCTTTCCTCAAGTGATAGACATCCAGTTCTCTCTAGTTCTCCCGTGCAGCAAAGGGAAGCTCACACCATCCTTGCCTCAAATTGATATCACTTAATGTGGTTAATAGAGCTGGTGCCGAATCCAGTGTGACAACACAGTTTTGATTTGCATGGCAACAAACGTCCCTGCTTGATGGCCATTGGCTGGTACCACAGGCAGAGCGTTCTGACCAGAGCTTGCATTCTGTTTACACGGGTGTGTGCTTTACAAAATTTGTGAAAGCAAGAGACCTATAACCAAAGTTGGTTAAGATTGTTATCTCTTTTCCCTAGACTTGCCCTCTGTCCAACTTCCTCTAACGTTGGATGGTACTGGAGTGGTGATGGCCATTTTTGGGATCCAGCTGAGGGAAATGGAATTAGGGATATAGTTAGCTGGGAATTAGTGGAATATATTTATGTGGTTTGGACCACACTTTGGCGTGTGGTTGTTACCAGCCGTCCCACTCTTGGCACGGCTTCCAGGAATATGCCCACCGCCTACTCTGCTGGCTCACCTGGCACTGTGACATGGGGTACAGGGCCAGGAGTGTATCCTGGTGTGGCTGTTGTCCTGTGGTACCTGGCTCTGAAAATGTGTGAGCCGCAGAGGAGAAACAAGGGTCGAGACATATGGAGCTAGAAATAGGGTCTGGAAAGTTCTTCCAGATCTTACAGCTTCTTACAGGGAAGTTCAATAGAGGTTTCCTAAATCTGACAATAGTCTTATAGCTTTTGTGACTAGTAATGTCAAGTCATTGTGAAGCTGAAAAAAACCCTTCTAAACTTCCAAGAAAAGAGAAATTTGGACTGATTATGCTAGAGGACAAGACTAAATTGTTTTTTATTCGCTATAGGAAGTATTACAGAATCATTGGCATGAGTGGGGAGATAATCAGAGTATATGGCAAACAAACCAGTAGGAAGGTATGCTAGAGGGATGCCAGGCAGTTAATTAATAAAAATATGTTATTTTGTTAGATTTTGTGATATAAATGGTATTTGTATTGTTTTTCTTTTCTTTTTTTTTTTTTTTTTAAAGATTTCATTTATTTGACGGAGAGAGCACAAGCACAGGGAGCAGCAGGCAGAGGGAGAGGGAGAAACAGACTTCCCGCTGAGCAGGGAGCCTGACACGGGGCTTGATCCCAGACCCTGAGATCATGACCTGAGCCGAAGGCAGATCCTTAACTGACTGAGCCACCCAGGCGCCCCTTGTATTGGTTTTCTATTGCCATGTAACAAATTCTTACAAATTTAGCAGGCTGAAACAAAACACGTTTGTTATCTACAGTTTCCAGGGATCTGGCATGGCTTAGCTGGGTGCTCTGTTCGGGGTCCCACAAGGCTGCAGCAGTGTCGGCTCTGGCTGTGAGCTCAGCTGTGGCTTGGGTCCTCTTCCAAGCTCTGGGTGCTGGCAGTTTCTTGCAGATGTGGGATGGAGGCCCATAGGTCCTTGCTACCAGGCCGTTTCCATAGGTACTTCATACGATGGCAGCTGCTTCTTCAGGGCCAGTAGGAATGTCTCTTTGGTTCGCTAAGACAGATTCTTACATAAGGAAATGTAATCATGGGGTGATATTCTGTTGGTTAGCAGCCAGTCACAGATTCCTCTGTATTTGAGGGGAGAGCATCATACTAGGGCATGACTCACTGAGGGTCGGGTGTATTTGCCATAGTAGTTGTCCGTTAAAAAAAAATTTATAATGCATTATGATTTCTTTTCTCACTCTAAATATTCACTTTTGTATCCAGTATTAAATGTGTAATTTTATATTCTTTCCTTAAAAAGGATGAATAAGGTTCAGACCAAAACCTTGATTTCCTCCTGGGTCATTCCCTCCATATATCTTACAATGAAAAACCTTTGTCTTTGATGTTTGCTTCTCTTTATCTTATTCTAGGGGCCAAAGTGGGGAAATCTAGTGGAACCTGCTTGATTTATTCAAAACATTTTTGCATAAAAGAGGAGAGGCAAGTCTTGAAGATGGCTTTGGAAGTCTTGTTTTTGTTTGATAACATGTTTTGCTTACTAAAAATTCCTTATTTTTCTTCTGTAGAGTCTGGGAAGAAGAGAGGGTGAGGAGCAGAGTTAAGATGGAGACAGGATTAGAGGAGTAGCTTGTTAATCAAGATGAAGAAGGGGATTTTTGTCCCCCTAGGGAATCATTGACAATGTCTGGAGATATTTTTGGGTGTCCCAACTAGAGGACAGGTGCTCCTAGCACCTAGTGGGTAGAGGCCAGGGATGGTGCTAAGCATCCTGCGGCACACAGGAGAGATCCTACGACAAAAAATTATCCAGTGCAGATAGTCTTGTCAATAGCAGGGCTGCTGATGCTGTACAAGACGAAGTGGAGAGTCTAATTGGGATTTGCATTTTTATTATGTATGTTTGTATGTGTGTGTATGGTAAGAGGGAGGGGAAAAGATGCACGCAGAAGAATTTGTCCCTTTTTCCCAGTATCTTCAGAGAAACTAGGGAAAGCTGGGCTTGATCTTAGTCTATTTTTTCATGTGCTAACATATTTGAGGACCGGGGCGCAGCAGTTATTGAAGAAATGGTAACATAAAATCAGAGCAAGGAAAGCATAGAGATGAGGCGATGTATATTTGGAAAAGTCCTTAATTGATTTTCTAAAAACAGTGCTGGCTAATAGAACCTTCTGCCTTGGTGAAAATGTTCTGTATCTATACTGTCCACACGGGTGGCTGCTGAGCTCCATGACGTGTGGCTAGTGGCTACTGTATTGGACCGTAGAGCTCCACAATCATAATTATGGAGCTTGAAGAAACCTTAGCAGTGATTCCCAAATTTAGATGATTGCACAATCTCCTGGCAGACCTTTGTAAAAAACACCTTCCGGATGACGTTTCTAGAGTTGAAGATGGGAATCTTTCTTTTTATGAAGCTCTCCTGGTGCTTCCGACATATGGCCAAGTGTGGTGACTCCTGCCTGAGACATCAGCTAGTCAAGCCTGATTTCACAGAAGAGGAAACTGAGTCTGAGCCAGTGCTTTACCCCAAGTTAAAAAAAATTAGCTTAGGGGCACCTGGGTGGCTCAGTCGTTAAGCGTCTGCCTTCGGCTCAGGTCATGATCCCGGGGTCCTGGGATTGAGTCCCACATCGGGCCCCCTGCTTGGCGGGAAGCCTGCTTCTCCCTCTCCCCCTGCTCATGTTTCCTCTCTGTCAAATAAATAAAATCTTAAAAAAAAAATTAGCTTATATGGCAAAATTGCTATGAAACTTGGATTATGTGAGGAGCAATGGTCCCAGAAGTGTTTATTTTTGCCTAAGTCCTGACTCTGAGAAAAATTGGAGGGAGATCTTAATATTTTATCTTTGACCTCATACTCTTTAGACTGTTAGCGGCTGGCTCAGCGGCTGGCTAAGGCAGCTTAGACATGCTCCGCAAGAAGGGGTCTCCGTGAAGTTCGTCTTAGTTTTGTGTGTCTTGGGCATCTGAAACCGAATCACACACATCCCTGCAAGGTCAGGAGCCTGGATCGTCTTAACAGATACCAAGACTTTAGGGATTTCCTGTTTCTAGTGGAAAAAAGGAAACATCAAGATAGTAATCTGCATTCTAATAATCTGCACACTTTTCCCTGGCACAGAGGTATGCAGTCATATCAGGACATTCTGACTTCCTGCGTCCAGGGAGACCCTGGAACTACTGCTGGTTTTAACCTTGAAAGCTCAGAAATGAGCAACTGAGATGCTTTATGGTGTTATTCAGAGATTTGCACTGGGTAGTGGGGGTTTTGAGGGTCATGAATTTGTCTCTTTGGAAAGGAGTTAAAAGGACACTGTGTGAAGCATAGGTCAATTTTCACATATTGTATATTTTAAGATAACTGTTAGTACAAATGTAAGAACCTAACATTAAACATTTTTTCCTTTTTTGTTTTGAAATTTAAAATCATTTGAAGAACCAGTAGCTTTTAATCGGCAGCATGAGGCTCTTTTTTTTTTTTTTTTAATTTATTTTAAAAAGGGAGAGGGTGTGTGGGAGTGGGGAGGGGGCGGGGCTGGGGGAGAGAGAGAGAAGCAGACTCCCTGCTGAGGGCAGAACCCCACACAGACCTCCATCACAACCCTGAGATCATGACCTGAGCCCAAATCAAGAGTTGGATGCTTAACTGACTGAGCCACCCAGGCACCCCAGCATGAGGCTCTTTTTAAGGGTATTCTTCAAAGGTCCTGTAAGTTCAAATTGATAATCTCAGTTCAATTTCTAAATTTTAAAAAATTTAAATTACAGATTATTAAGATATAATTCACATACCATGATATTCATTCTTTTCAAGTGTGAATTCAGAAGTCAATTCAATGACTTTTTAAGATATTCACGCAGACGTGCAACCATCACCATTATATAATTTTAGAACAATTTTCTCAAAAAAAAAAAAAAAGAAAAGAAAACACCCTACATATTAGTAGTCTTTCTTTCTCCATTGCTGCCTCCCTTGCTTCCACTCCTGGTCCTTGATAACCACTTTCTGTTCTTATGGATTTGCCCATCTAGACATTTCATATAAATTGAATCATATAATATATGGTCTTTATATCTGGCTTCTTTAACTTAGCATAATGTCTTGAAAGCTCACTATGTTGTAACTTGTATCAGTACTTAGTTCCTTTTTTTTTTTTTTAAGATTTTTATTTATTTGAGAGAGAGAGAGTGAGTGAACATGAGGGGGGGCATGACAGGACAGGGAGAGGGAGAAGTAGACTCCCCACTGAGCAGGGAGCCCGATATGGAGCTCAATCCCAGGACCCTGAGATCATGATCTGAGTTGAAGGCAGATGTTTAACCGATTGAGCCACCCAGGCACCCCTTCCTTTTTTTTTTTTTTTTTTTTGATTCTTATTTATTAGAGAGCACACGCTCACGCATGCGCTCGAGTTGGGGGGAGGGGGAGAGGGAGAGAGAGAATCTTAAGCAGGCTCCACACCCAGCACGGAACCCAGTGTGAGGCTCCATCTCATGATGCTGAGATCATCACCTGAGCCGAAATCAAGGGTTGGACACTTAACTGACGGAACCACCCAGGTGCCCCAGTACTTCGTTCTTTTTTATCATGGAATAATATTCCATTGTCTGGATATGCTAGGTTTTCTTTATCCATTCATCAATTGATGGACATTTGGATTGTTTCTACTTCTTTGGTTATTTTGAATAATGTCACTATGATCATTTGTGTATAAATTTTTGTGTAGACCTATGTCTTAAATTCTCTTGCATAAATATATTGAGGCACGAAACTTGCTGGTCTTATGGTAACTGTATGTATAACTTTTTGGGAACTGCAAAACTGTTTTCCATAGCATCTGCACCATTTTATAATCCTATAAGCAATGTATGAAGGTTTCAATTTCTCCCTATCCTGGCCGACACATGTCATTGTCATTGCCATTAAAGTGGTATCTCATTGTGGTTCGGATTTGCATTTCCTCAATGACTAAAGATGTTTGGCCTTGTTTGATATGCTTATTGGCCATTTGTGTATCTTCTTTGGAGAAATGTTTATTCAGGTCCTTTGTGTATTTTTAAATTGGGTTATTTGTCTTTTTATTGTTGAGTTTTAAGAGTATTTATATATTTGGAATACAAGTCCCTTATTAGATATATGATTTGTAATTATTTTCTCTCATTTTATGGGTTATCTTTTCACTTTCTTGATGGTGTCCTTTGAAGCATGAAAGTTTTAAATTTTGATGAAGCCTAGTTGTGCTTTTGATGTCTTATCTAAGAACAAATTGCCAAATCCAAGGTCATAAAGATTTACACCTATGTTTTCTTCTTAGAGTTTATGGGTTTTAGCTCTTACTTTTCAGTCTTGATCCATTTTGAGTTAATTTTTGTATGTGATGTGAAATACGGGTCTAACTTCATTCTTCTGCATGTGGATATCCGCCTAAACCAGTACTAATTCATTTTTTTTTTTTTAGCACTAACAGTTTTTCTGTTTCACAGCTTTTATATTTATTTTGTTTTATTTGTCCTTTCAGGGTATCTTTTTGGCAAATACCTACACACATACATATGCATATACATACCTATTAAGATACACACACACACAGACACACACACACATTTCTTTATTCTCCCTTTATTCTCATATACTTTACTTGTGCAAAAGGTAGACTTATAATCTGGAGATCTTTATGTATCTGTACATTGTTCTCTTTGTCATTTTTTATAGCTCCATCGGTGGGCACCTTAATCATTTGCTGTCACACACAGTGCCACAGGGATCACCTTGTATGTTGTTGTAGATTAGATTCCTGGAAGCAGGGTGGCTGGGACCTAGGATGAATGCTTCTCCAGTGTTCTTAGATCTTGCCATATTCATCCCTGTAAAGACTGCACTATTCACCTCCCACCAGCCATGTACAAAGGCCTTTTCCCCAGAGTGTGTTATCCGGGGGTGGGGTTTTGCCAGTCTGGTAGGTGAAAAATGCTATCTCCATGTAGTTAACAACTTCCATTCTCTATATTAAGTGCGGATGAACATCTTTTCGTATGTTTAACGTCATATGTATTTATTTTTCTGTGAATTGTTTATGTCTGTTGCCACATTTTCCCCATTGGATTGTTGATCTTTTTTCCTCCCTGTTTCTAGGAACTGTTTAAATATAGCTCTTTGTGATGTGGGTTCAAATACTTTCCCCTGTTTGTCATTTGTCTTTTTTTATAGTGTGTTGTGCCATACGGAAGTTTTTAAAATTTTTTATGTAGTCTAATTTATCAATTTTTTCTTACATGGCTTCTGGATTTTGAGTCATAGTTAAAAAAGGCCTTCCCTACTTCAAGGTAATAAAAGGATTTCACCCATGTTTTCTTCTGGTGCTTGATGGGTTTATTTCTATATTTCATTATGTGTATATTTAATCCTCTTAGTCCGTCTTGCTAATTACTTTTCAGATGAGTTTTATACTTCTGTTGATTATGTATAAGAGCTTCTGTTTCTCACCCTTGCCCATGTTTGTATTATAATTTTATACTGAGAATAATATTGCCAGTGTTCTTTCTGCCCTGTACTTGGACTCCTCATCTACAAAATGGGAATTTCTGCTCTTGTTTAAAAACAAAATAAAAAGTGGTAGAGCTGAGAACAATAAAGAACAGAAGTGTTATATGAGGAGTTATTTTTATTTCATAGTGCTTTGTACATAGTGTGATAATGCTAGGCACTCAGTAAATACTCAGTTGGTTGTAGGCAAAGTGCCCATATATTGAAATGTATTTTTTTGGGCAGATTTTCTTTCCCTTAAAACTTTGTTCATTACTGATAATGCTGTTTATTTCCTCAGTTTGTAGAAGACTATGAACCTACCAAAGCTGACAGTTACAGAAAGAAAGTGGTTCTTGATGGAGAAGAAGTCCAGATAGATATTCTGGACACGGCTGGACAAGAGGATTATGCAGCCATTCGAGACAACTACTTCCGCAGCGGGGAAGGTTTCCTCCTCGTGTTCTCAATCACAGAACACGAATCATTTACAGCAACTGCCGAATTCAGGTATGTTTCAAGTGAAATAGCCTCCGGACTCCAGGAGGCTTTTTGCCTTTCTTTCTCATGGGTTTGGCTTGGCAGGACTTTTGGGCTGAGCACAGTAGTAGAGGGTTGAGCTTGTTATTAGGAAGAATTCCATTAAAGAATTTTCTGTGGCTTTTTGAATCTTGGGACATTATAGTCCACCATTTGTTATAGTCTCTTTGGGTTTCCCTGTTTTTATAATTCCTGAATATAAATTATCTGAAGAATCTGTTGTCCCTAGAGAGGACGAAGCCATTCCGTATTCTCAAGAACCTGTAATTTTGTTTTTGTATAAGTCCTAAGGGACAGTGATTGATGAGTTCACTATTTTTATCTTTTTTTTTTTTTTTAAGATTTATGTATTTGAGAGAGAAAGCAAGTGAGACAGAGCGAGCGAGCTAGCAAGAGCATGAGCAGGGGGAGAGGAAGAGGGAGAGAGAATCTCAAGCAGACTCCCCGCTGAGCACAGACCAAGGTGGGGCTTGAGCTCAGGGCCCTGAGACCATGATCTGAGCTGAAATCAAGAGTCAGACGCTTAACCGACTGAGCCACTCACGTGCCCCAACTATTTTTAACTTTTTTATAATTTTACCAGAAAGGTAATAATTTTGATCTATTTTGAGGTTGATGAAACATTGTCAGGAGAGTGAAAGATGTGGGTCCGAGTGACCATTTGCTGCCACTTTAAGGACTGTTTAGCCTAGGCGAGTGGAAAGAGCCAACCTTTAGAATCTGACAGATCTGGGTTTGAATCCTGGCCCTGCCCCTTAGCAGTTTTGTGACCCTGGGCAAAATTACTCAGCACTGGAGATTCTGTTTCTCTATCTGAAAATGCACTTGTTAGTTGATGAAATGAAATGAAATGATGCTTTAGGCTGTAAATTCTTCAGGGTCGACACCATGGCCACCTGCACCATATGATGTCCCCAGGCTTTCTCACAGGGTGTGCGCGTGGTGCTTACATAGTGTGTAAAATATTAACTGCTATAATTCATTTTAAACGCAGTAGTTAAAGATACCTGAGGTTCATTTTTTTATCAAGAAATAGTGAGCTGTTAGGCATCATCCTTAGAGGATTCTAATGGGAAGGGCGTCTTTCTCTTTACCCCATATGCTTTTCGTTTCTCTTACACAGTTGTATTTTCTTTTCATCTACTCTCCTTATAAACATGTCTGTCCAGATGACTTTTGATTTTAAGAACCAGATCTAGAGTCTAACAAGGAACTAAAAAGGGGGGAAAAATCAGTATTTTTTTTCATTCTTTAGCAAGTTATGGTCAGAAATCGAGGGATCAACCAAAAATAAAAATTGAGGAAACTAAATATCCCTCCAAGATTTGGGAGGAGGCATCAGTGAGCCAGGGAACCCTCAAGGGGTGATTCCAGCTAAACCAGCAGAGTGAGTGGAAGGTAAACAGAGTAGCTCTCCGTTGCTGTGCTGCATAGTGTTAAGTCTTCAAAGGTAGAACATCTAAATTCTCTGGTACTATAGTGTGGGTGTTGTGATCAGTTAAATGACCAGGACTCTTATGAGCGGTCCTATTAATTTTCAGACTTTCCCAACACACCTAGAAGTTTTCTCTATGTGGGAATAGCCCCGGTATTCGTAATTGTGTTTGCAGCTACATAATCCTGTTTTTATCTGTCCTTGAGGATAAAACAGGACAGATGCACACACTTCCTCATTTTCCTGCATGTCCTGAGCCTTTTTATGTCCCATCACCCCATGACTCACTGAGAAAGGAAATGGTGAGCAGTGGAAGAGTCCTGTCCAGAGAACAGACGTCCTGTCTCCCCACGCCACCACACACACACACAGATAGCATTCGTGCGTTTCCAGAGATTTGGAGCAGGGTCTCACCTCATCTTGGGAGATGGGTTTTGGGCATTATGTGAGAACAGGGATCCTTAGAAGAAAAAGGACAGATGACTACTTAAGAGAAAAAGAAAGGGCAAGTGAGTTCTTCTGACTTGGACTCTGGACATTCAGATAAAAGTCACAGGGCTGTCCAGGTTTCTTATGGCATTGGAAACAGAAGAATGGAGTAGAGTATCTGAGCCTTTGTGGTTAAACTCACGTTATGCCTTTTAGCGGTTTTCAAACATAGCATTGCTGTATTTATGGGAAGGTCCCAACATAAAACGTTCATATGCTTTATCTTCCTTAAAACTTTCCCTGGACAATATTCAATAAGCTAGAAAAATAGGTTTTTTTTTTTTTTTTTTTTTTAAGATTTTATTTATTTATTTGAGAGAGAGAGAATGAGAGAGCACATGAGAGGGGGGAGGGTCAGAGGGAGAAGCAGGCTCCTCGCTGAGCAGGGAGCCCGATGCGGGACTCGATCCAGGGACTCCAGGATCATGACCTGAGCCGAAGGCAGTCGCTTAACCAACTGAGCCACCCAGGCGCCCGAAAAATAGGTTTGTAATAGGAGACCAGACTTGGTACTCCCAGTTTTGATTTAATATATTTATTAATGAGGTAATTTTACAAACCTCTGCATGATTAATGAACCAGAGAGCTATCAGTTTTTCTCATTCATAGTTGTATTGATCATATAACTTCTAAATGTTCTTTGACCTCTGTTGGTTAAGCGGCTGCCTTCGGCTCAGGTCATGATCTCAGGGTCCTGGGATTGAGTCCTGCATCAAGTTCCTTGCTCAGCGGGGAGCTTGCTTCTCCCTCTGCCTGCCGCTCCCCCTGCTTGTGCTCTCGCTCGCTCTCTCTCTAGCAAATAAATAAATAAAATCTTAAAAAAAAAAAAAAAAGTGTAGCCTATAGCAAAGCTACTTAAAAGCAATTTTTAAGCATCTACTTTTCTTTTTTGTTTTTCTTAAAATATTTGCTATCTGATACTTAAAGTGACTCTAATGGAAAAACTTAAAAATATTTTTATTATTATGAAATGTGTCCTATATCATATAAAAATCAATGCAGATCTCCACAAAATGCACTTTTGAAGGTGTCTCTTTTTGGAATATTTTAGAATATAGAAGTAGAAATGTCTTTACTAGACCAAAATAATGGAAGTGGAATATTTAATTCTTGTAATACTTGGTTTTTGATTAATAATTTTAGGTAGCTGATAGTTTTAGTAAAGGTGAAATTTAATGTGGATTATTTCCTTCCTTCCTTCCTTTTTTTTTTGTACTTTGTAGTAGACAAATAATACACACTAAAATATGATTACTCCTTAGCATAGCTGACCCCATTCTGTTGGCTGTAACATTTACTGTATCTAAATGCAAACTGTGGAGAAGCAGGTACATACACAGATCTAGATATAATTAAACAAAAGTTTCACAAAACTACACTTTATGTAATACTCGAGATTCCTTCTGATGTTTCTGTTCTATTCTATAATATTCTGTTTCATTGAGGACAGTAATTACTGGTTGTGACTCATTAAACTGCTTTCATGATCTAATAGACTACCGCCTTCGTTATGAGAAACACTGATTTCATGGCTGTTATTCTCACAAAGAAATCATACCATTTTTGCAGGGGAATTATTAAGCACTTCATGTATGAAGATACTTCTCTTAACTTGTTTGTATCCCAGAGGTTCCCAAGTTGTTCTTTTTGTTAAAAAGTTTTGGTGCCTAAGCATAAATTGGGGACCCTGTTGAAATGCAGAATCCTGGGCTCCTATTTAGACATCACTTCTGTGGGACTCCTGTTGGGCCCAGAAATCTGTGTTTGTGATGAGCACCCCACATCTTTCTGATAGAGGCAACTGAGAACCAGGCTTTGAATCTAGGGAGTGTGTCCTTGGAACATGCCCTGAGTGTAACAAGTCTTTCTGCCCTAGGACAGCCTTTCATTTTAGAAGCATCAGTGTATTTGAGTTCTTATTCTAGCTTTCTTAGCTGTGTTGTTTGGTTTTGTTTGTTTTGATGCTATGCCTTAGGGAACAGATCCTCCGTGTTAAGGCTGAAGAAGATAAAATTCCATTGCTTGTCGTGGGAAACAAGTCCGACCTAGAGGAGCGGAGGCAGGTGCCCATTGAAGAGGCTAGGAGTAAAGCAGAGGAGTGGGGTGTGCAGTATGTGGAGACATCGGCTAAAACTCGGGCCAACGTGGACAAGGTAGGTGTGTGCTCTGCGCGTGTTTCTTAGAAACAGCAGAACGTAGACATCTCGTCTGTTTGGTTTTGAGGGAACCGTTTACGGAAAGTACGGGAGGACTGATTTTTCCAGATGTCTCAGCCAGTGTAGTGAGAAACCGTGGGAGGGTTTGACCCTGGAGTTCAAACAACCCAGAGTCCTCTCACTTTGTCATGAGCCTTTGTTGAGTATGCTTAATGTTGGCATGGCCCTTGGAAATATGGCAAGATGAGGCGCTGGCTTTGTGCAGACCGTGTGGGTAGGATGGACATAAGTAGCTTCCCTGTGCTCTCATCTGCTATGGCCTCTTGTTTTTCAGGAGCAAGTTCTTTTGCAGGTTCTCAGAAGGGACCCCAAAGACACACAGCATATCTTGATTTTGCTGTCATTGGTTAGATTTACTCTTTTCACCTTGCTGGCCACTGGCAGAACCAAGGTGTTCTGTCTTTATATAACTTATATATATAACCCAGTGAAAGGGTGACCTTGACAATGATGAACGTTGACAATTTTTGAAAATCCACCTACCAGTGATTGCTATTGTTAGGTTTTGGGGTTTGTTTTTTGTTTTTAAGAATTAAGGTTCAGAGTGGTTGCCACACAGTTCAAGTAGACAGACTTAGAGATGTGGCTTTTCCTTCTACCTTCACCTTGTTTGTTAGCTCTTACTTCATGATCCATGTTCCTGTAACATCTAAACTTATTTCACTTTGGCAGCCCAGCAGCGGCTGTATCTGCTTTGTCTTATGCAGCAACAGCATCTGAATTCCCCAGAGTGCTTCATATGTTGCTCTTTCTTAGGGGGAAATAATTCTCCTTACCTGAAGAGGGACAGATTTGTAATCAAGCTTACTTTAACTTGAAGTGATGCTAGAAGAACATTGGTATTTAGAATGTTAGTATTAGAAGGGACTCAACTTTATTTAAAAAAAAAAATCTATTCAAGAATAATTGACATACAATGTTATATTCATTTCAGGTGTACAACAAATTGATTTAACAATTCTATATATTACTCAGTGCTTACTACAATAAGTGTGGTCACCATCTGTCACCATACAGTGTTATGACAATAGTATTGACTATATTCCCTATGCTGTACTTTTCATTACTGTGACTTATTTATTTCATAACTGACAGTTTGTACCTCATAATCCCCATCACCTAATTCACCCATCCTCCCACCCTCCTCCCCTTCAGCAACCACCAGTTTGTTCTCTGTATTTATGAGTCTGTTTTTGTTTGTTTCTTTTGTTTTTTAGATTCCACATGTAAGTGAAATCATATGGTATTTGTCTTTTTCTGTCTTATTTCACTTAGCATAGTACCCTCTAGGTCCATCCATGTTGTTACAAATGGCAAGATCCCATTCTTTTCTCATGGCTGGGTAATATTCCATTGTGTGTGTGTGTTTGTGTGTGTGTGTGTGTACCACGTCTTCCTTATCCATTCATCTGTAGATGGACACTTGTGTTGCTTCCATAATTTGGCTATTGTAGGGCGCCTGGGTGGCTCAGTTGGTTAAGTGACTGCCTTCGGCTCAGGTCATGATCCTGGAGTCCCTGGATCGAGTCCCGCATCAGGCTTCCTGCTCGGCAGTGAGTCTGCTTCTCCCTCTGACCCTCCCCTCTCGTGCTCTCTCTCAAATAAATAAATAAAATCTTTAAAAAAAAAAAAATTGGCTATTGTAAATCATGCTGCTATAAACATCAGGTGCACATGTCTTTTTGAATTAGTGGTTTCATTTTCTTTGGATAAATACCCAGTAGTTACTGGATCATACAGTAGTTCTATTTTTAATTTTTTAAGGGAACTCCATACTGTTTTCCACAGTGGCTACACCATTTTACACTTCCACCCACAGTGCACAAGTGTTCCCTTTTCTCCACATGCTCACCAACACTTATTTTCTTGTCTTTTTGTTACCAGCCTGACAGGTGTGAGAGGTGATCTCTCATTGTGGTTTTGATCTGCATTTTCCTGAGGCTGAGTGATGTGTCTTTTCATGTGCCTGTTGGTTGTCTATACGTCTTCTTTGGAAAAATGTTTATTTGGGTCCTTTGTGGATTTTTAATGAGATTATTTAGTTTTTAGGTGTTGAGTTGTAGAAGTTCTTTATATATTTTGGACATTAACCCCTTATCGAATATATGATTTACAAATACCTTCTCCCATTCAGTGGTTGTCTTTTTCTTTTGTTGATGGTTTCCTTCCCTGTGCAGAAGCTTTTTCTTTTGGTGTAGTCCCATTTATTTTTGCTTTTGTTTCCCTTGCCTGAGGAGACAGATCCATAAATATGTTGCTAAGGCTGATGTCCAAGAAATGACTGCCTATGTTTTCCTTTTTTTTTTCCCCTCAGGTTTTTGTTTAAATTCCAGTATAGTTAACATAGGTGTAATATTAGTTTCAGGTGTACTATATAGTGACTGAGCACTTCCATACAACACCTGGTGCTCGTGCCTATGTTCTTTCTTTTATGAGTTTTATGGTTTCAGGTCTCAAATTTAGGTCTTTAGTCTATTTCAAGTTTATTTTTCTGTATGGTATAAGAAAGTGGTCCAGTTTCATTCTTTTGCATGTGGCTGTCCAGTTTTTCCAGCACCATTTATTGAAAAGACTGTTTTTTCCCTGTTACATATTCTTGCCTCCTTTGTCTTAGATTAATTGACCATATAACCATGGGTTCAATTCTGTGCCCTCTATCCTGTTCCACTGATCTATGTGTCTGTTTTTGAGCCAGGACCATACTGTTTGGATTACTAAAGCTTTGGAAGTATATCTTGAAATCTGGGATTGTGATACCTCCAGCTTTATTCTTCTTTCTCAAGATTGATTTGGCTATTCAAAGTCTTTTGTGGTTCCATACAGATTTTATGATTATTTGTTCTAGTTCTGTGAAAAATACTATTGGTATTTTGATAGGGATTGTACTGAATCTGTAGATTGCTTTGGGAAGTATGGACATTTTAATAATATTAAATCTTCTAGTCTATGAGCATGAAATACCACTCTCTTTGTGTCATCTTCAATTTCTTTTATCAATGTCTTATAGTTTTCAGAGTATAGGTCTTTTTCCTCTTTGGTAAAATTTATTCTCAGGTATTTTATTCTTTTTGGTAGGATTGTAAATGGGATTGTTTTCTTAATTCTTCTTTCTGCTACTTCAATTTTAGTTTATAGAAACACAACAGATTTCTGTGTATTAATTTTGTATCCTGTAACTTTACTGAATTTATCCATTCTAGTAGGTGTGTGTGTGTGTGTGTACCCCTTATCGAATATATGATTTACAAATACCTTCTCCCATTCAGTGGTTGTCTTTTTCTTTTGTTGATGGTTTCCTTCCCTGTGCAAAAGCTTTTTCTTTTGGTGTCGTCCCATTTATTTTTGCTTTTGTTTCCCTTGCCTGAGGAGACAGATCCTTTTTTTTTTGTGGTATCTTTAGGGTTTTCTATATATAGTATCATGTCCTCTGCAAATAGTGACAGTTTTACTTCTTTTTAAATTTGTATGCCTTTTATTTCTTTTTCTTGTCTGATTGCTATGGCTAGGATTTCCAGTACTATTTTGAATAAAAGTGGTAAGAGTGGACATTCTTGTTCCTGATCATAAGGGAAAAGCTCTCAGTTTTTCACCATTGAGTATGATGTTAGCTGTGGGTTTTTCAGATATGGCCTTTATTATGTTGAGGTATGTTCCCTCTAAATCCACCTTGTTGGGAGTTTTTATCATGAACAGATGTTGTATTTTGTCACATACCTTTTCTGGGTCTTTTGAGATGATCATGTGGTTTTTATCCTTTCTCTTTTTTATGTGGAATGTATCACAGTGATTGATTTGCAAATATTGAACCACTCGTACATCTCTGGAATAAATCCCACTTGATTGTGGTGAATGATTCTTTATTGTTGAATTCAGTTTGCTGATATTTTTGTTGAGTATTTTTGCACCTGTTTTTCAGAGATATTGGTATGTAGTTTTCTTTTTAAGATTTATTTACTTATTTGAGAGAGAGAGAGCATGGGGAGAGGGGCAGAGGGAGACAGAGAGCATCTCAAGCTCCCCACTGAGCACAGAGCCTGATGGAGCCCAGTGCCATGGAGCCCGATGTGGGCTCGATGTCACAACCCTGAGATGATGACTTGAGCCTAAATCAAGAGTCGGACGCTTAACTGACTGAGCCATCCAGGTGCTGCTGTAGTTTTCTTTTTTTGTGGTGTCTTTGTCTGGTTTTGGTATTAGGGTAATGTTGGCCTCATAGAATGAATTTGGAAGTTTTCCTTCATTTTCTTCTTTTTGGGGGAATAGTTTGAGAAGAGTAAGTATTAACTCTTCTTTAATGTTTGGTGCAATTCACCTGTGAAGCCATCTGGTCCTTGACTTTGTTGGGAGCTTTTGGGATTACCAGTTCAATTTTGTTACTAGTAATGAGTCTGTTCAAATTTTCTTTTTCTTCCTGATTCTGTTTTGGAATATTGTATGTTTCTAGGAATTTATTCATTTCTTCCAGGTTGTCTAATTTGGTGGCATATCGTTTTTTAATATTCTCTTATAATTCTTTGTGTTCTCTGGTGTCAGTCGTTATTTCTTCTCAGAAAGGGTTCACTTTAGAAGCACTTTGGCAGCATCTACAATATAAATCTGTCTGTGATGTGAAGTCTGTTCACTTGTTAGCTATTTTTCCTTCATATTATTTCTCAGCTCTTATGTTGATTCCTGTGCTATTCCAGATCTCTTTCTTTCTATCAAATTGTTTCCTAGATGTAGGAACACACAGGAAATCCAGACATGTATTTTATTTAAAAAAAAATCGGGAAGGCTTTCTTGGCATGGAACCATGGATATGTAGTTTTTTGACAGTATGGTAGTGGTTGGGGCTGTTGCAGGGCACCTTGCGTCTCCCCTTCCTCCACTGGACCAGCTTGACCTGCCAAACAGGACCCAGCAGAAACTTATGACTGGCAGCATTGTATTCACTTGTAAACAGTTTACACGAAAGGACGGGAGGTTGTTAATAAGATCAGCCCATGGACAACTTCGTCATCATTTTAAGTTGGACACATTCCATTCGCCTCCTGCCTTTGCTGTTAGAACAAAAAGGAAAAGTTATAACATCTGAAGCTGTTCACTGCTGCTCTTGTAGGTGGGGTGCTTAGGTCACTTAGTGGGGAAGGAGGTCTTTTTCTGTGCCCAGAGCTGGTGGTAGATGCACAGGGAGTCCCCCCACTCAGAAAGCTTGGTCTTACTTTTCACCAAGAAGATATGTCTATGAAAATAGAAGGAGCTTGTAGTTTTGTGTGAACATCCAAAAATTACAGCCTACGCTCGGTCTCACGTCATTCCCTCTGAGGAATCTGAAATGTTTCTTTGTAGGAGGCTTATTTTGTCTGCTTGGGTATCATTGGCACTTTGGCACAATTGCTGGTAGCAGAGGGCAAAACCCAAACTATTGTGGCAAATGATAATTTGTATCTGAATGACACACTGGCATTCAAAGGACAAGCCTTATATCAGTTCTTGATAAAGTTCCTTTCAGCAAACATCACAAGGAACGAACAGTGGCTATTCCTGAGAATGAGGGCAGGGGCATGGGCGTGGGAGGGTGTGGGACAGCACATCTCTCCTCCCCATTTCCCTAGTTTCCTGGTACAGGAGCCTGAGTTTGTTTATGCTTTATCCCCCATCTCCCCACCCCACCGTGTTCCAAGTCTGCTAGTTCTGCTGGGGAAGCTGTCGGGCATAATGACGTTCCTACCTTTTTAAGGTCATGATAAGGATTACATAGTAGTATCTGAGAAAGTACCCAGTAGCAGGCACTCCTATTCTTAACCTTGCCTGGTGGTTGGAAATGCTAGAAAGTCTGATGTGAATTTTGGCACAGGGTTGATAAAAATAAGTTTGCTTTATGCTTTAAAATGTAACTAGATAGCCTGCTTAGTGGAATTGCTTCATGAAATCATTAAATGGCTTTTTCCTCTCTATTCTTTACACTCCTTCCTCCCCGCCCCAGGTGTTCTTTGACCTAATGAGAGAAATCAGAGCCAAAAAGATGTCTGAGAACAAAGACAAGAACGGCAAGAAAAGCAGCAAGAACAAGAAAAGTTTTAAAGAAAGATGTTGCTTACTGTGAAAGCCAAGATAGCGGATGAAGTTAATCGCCGCTAAGGACATAGGGCGGGCTCATTAAGAGAAGAGTATAGTCGACTCCTTGGTGTGTTCCCTGCTCTCCCCAATCTCATTCACGCATACTTCTTTAAGTGGGGAAAATGTTTGTGAATCAGTGACTGGCGGAAGAAATAAGCCCTTGTCCATGCATTGGAACAGCTACTTTGTCAGGAAGTTTTGAAGTTTCCTTCTTCCTCCCCTTCTCCCTCCCAAAAGTTTAATCACATATGTAGTGTATAGGTAAGAAATAAGTGTTAATTAAAAAGAAATGTACTGTCATAGCATCTTATTTCTCTCCCTAGTTTTATAACATCACTATCTTTCGTTTTGAAATAAAAATGTCTTATTTTATTAGGTTTTGGGGAGGGGGTAGGATAAAACTCTCTCTCTTATCAGCTTACCAGAAGTACTCAAAAAAATCCATTAAGCTCTAATAAAAATTCAGAGATTTTTTGGGATAAGTTTCTTGGCAATACCTTGTGGATCTGAAGCACAGCAAAAAAAAAAATAAAAATAAATATGAATTGGGCTGAATAGGTCAGTGACAAGCTCATAAACCCTTCACAGATATGAAAAATGAAAGTTGAATTCTTCATATTTAAATATTAGCCAATTATAGCCTGTGTTGGCTACTTCTTTCCTGTAGCATCCTGATTTTTGTGTAGAAGCTTCTTTTAGCAGATTAAGTGAAGACTCAAGAGTAGTATACTTTATAAATGACACACTTCTCTAATCAGATTAAGAATATAACTTTGGATACATCCTCTCCTAATTGCCAGACATGGTTAGGTCCTTCCTCCTCTGCTGGTAACCAATATCTATCCTTCTGGCCAACCTCTCTGCATGTAGAAGTCAGGAGAGCCTCTTCTTTTAATTCTTTTCAGTATAATGAGTTCTTCTGAACAATGTGATGAGTTGAAATTGTATTCTCAAATCATGAAGCCAGAGCTGTGCCAGACAGTCTGCTACCTCTCATAGAATTGCTCTGTAATTCTAAATTTAAAATTAGGAGAAGCGGGAAAGGATAAGATAAGCCATTGCCCTTTTACCTCTGAGAATTGGCTGCTACTTCTAATATAATTTTCTTCTGAGACAGTCATAGAGCTGGTTAGAAAAAGGCTTTTATTGATGAGATATTGTTAAAGCTTTCTTTTATAGATATTCTCAATTTAGCAACCAGAAAATTTTTCCTCAGGAAAGGAGTACTGTGATTTAAACCCAGTGTTCACATTTTCCCCCATTTTTCAGAAGTGACATTTCACATATAGGTGCCAAAAGTGAATTGGGGTGGGGAGAGTGGGAACCTTTCAAATTTATAGTTACTACAGAAATTGTGGAAATTATGATCTGGCTGGAAAGCAATCTTGTATCACCTCCTAAAGAATCATGGTCTTTTTTAATAAAAAAAAAAAATCAGACAAATACACTTTTTCAAGGTTTCAGCCTTTTTATTTTCCTCTCTTGTCGTACATGTAAAATGCAAGTATTAGAGAAACTGACAGTAACTTACTCATTATTGATCTTGTTAGATGTTCTACTATATCAGACGAACTTTATTTCAATTCTTTGAACTGGGCTGTGGGAGATAAAATTTAAGTATAAACAGTAATTTTAACTTCACCATCTTTCCTTTGGGAGAGAGGACTACTCTGTCTTCGTAAAGTTTAAAATCTTGAAGTTAATCACACTCTCGAAGTTTTTGAGACAACCTTTTTCTTTTCATTACAGTTTGATACCAGTTGGGGTCAATAGTAGGTAGATTTGGAAGATGTACAAATATATTAAAGATAGTATGAATTGTTTCATGCGCTGGAAATTATTCCTGGCATGTACTATTAGTATATCTCTAAAATTATATTTAACTGGATAGCAATCAGAAATGCATCTTCCTAACAAAATAATTTATACATACGAGGTGGTTTTACATAGAAAAATAAGGACGCAATGTTATTTATACATTTGAAACACGGTTACTTGCTGAATGATCATCTACTGTGTCCAAGAGCCTATCATTATTTTCCTAAAGTGTTCATTCTGGAAATATTTGAGCACCTATTCGGTGTCAGGCTCGGTTCTAGGTGCTGGGATGTGATGTTGAACAAGGTAGGCAAGAGCTTTGTTCTCCTGGAGCTTATGCTCCAGTGATGTAGGAGACAAATAAATGAAAATAATCAGGGTAAGTGTTTTGATGAAAATAAAACTGGGTAATACGATAGGAAGCATTTCTGGGCAGTAGAGCTGATTTCGATTGTGTGGTCAACAAGCTTCTCGGGGGAGTGACATTTAAGCTGAGAGTGCATGCCCTGAAGGAGCAGCCATATGCCCAGCTGCTTGGGTGGGTGCAGGGAGCTTCCCAGGCTGGGGAACGGCCGGTGCAAAGGCCCAACAGTGTTGAGGAAAAGACCCCAAAGATCATATGGCTGGAGTAGAATGAGGGAGGAGCCAAGTAGTAGAAAAAGATGTAGCAGTTTATGGTTTCATAACGTGACGTAGAGGAAAAATACCTAGACATATAATTTGCTACAAGTATCCTGTTTCATCAAATCCAAGACACCGTTAATTGTAAGATGTCACCATAATTTATATACCACTAAGAAAAAACCTGCCAATTAAGTGAACCCATCCTGACTCCAGTGACATGAAAGTGTGGGAAAAGCTGTGCATGTTTTAGATAAGGTGAATTACAATATATAAACTTAAATGGCAGTTGAAATACAGAATGCACCTCTCTTGGTCTAGAGGCTTTCAGTACAATCGAAGCTTAACAGTGGGTAAATATTAACAGTGGGGAAAATATACATATATATGGTTAATGTTGCAGTAGTAAACTTGACTTGGATATTTATATTTTAAAAACACGTTAAAATTATTTAATCAAAATTGTAACTGCATGTGCTTTAAAATTCTAATGGTCTAGAAGTGTTTGTAATGGAAGCTCTTTAGTCCCAGCCCTGTTCCCCAAAAGTCAGATTCAACCATTTCTATTCTCAGATCATTCAGTAGGTACTCCTGAGTTTCTCAATACTGTTCTTATCGCCATGATTTCTTGATTTTCGACCTCAGCCATTCCCTGTGGTAGATGAGGGTGTGGCCCCTTGTGTCCCTTACCCCTACCCCATTTTTGACAGTAATAGGATTCTTTTAATTCCTCTCTTGGTGACAGTTACACCTTTTAAAACTGTATTAAAACATCTTGTTTATTATTCACGTAACTCTTGACAGCATTTCTTGGCTCCCCACTCTGAAAGGTGAGGATATTAACACACCTGCCCTTTATCTCTTGACCCCCTCCTACCTCTTCCTTCTCTGTGACACCTTTTGCTTTTATATTATCAAGGTTGATGACTTGAACCTTCCGCTCTGTGACCATAACTCAAGCTTCCATGCTTTACCTGTAGATCAATTTTAAAAGTTGAATACCAGTCAACAACAATTTGATTATGGTGACTTACGAAAATATGACTCATCGCTGGGCCAAGCACCACGTGGTGATTGCCTGTCCTTCGGGCTACATAGCTCTGTCGACGCCACACAGAGGAGAGCGGCCCTAGTGTCCAGTCACGTGGTCTCCCCCATCAGTTGCCTGAGTCACTCCACATTTTAGCTAGCTTTGCCTTTGGATGTCCCCCCCAACTTCCTCCCATTTTTCCTTAAGTTTGCTTTTTCCTGGTGGAGAGGATAATGATATATTCTCTCCCCTAATGTCCTTCTGGAGTGCAGCTTCCATAACTGTCAAACTTCTGCATCGACTCGTGGCCCTCTCTCATGCTCTTGGCCATTGGAGTCTTTCTTGACTAGGACTTGAAGGCAGGTGTCAGGAAACAGGAGGGACTGACATTTGAGCTCACTCTTCCATTTTGACCTGTTTTCATTTTCACAAGTATTTACTATTTCCTTTTTTTGTAGGTCAATGTTGAACAAGGGGTAGAGTGAAACCATTGATCCGAGCTTCTGTAGGGCTCATCTTTAATGAGGCTGTCTGTGGCAATCCCTGTTCTACAGGGGTGTAGACTTCATCATTTGGGGTCAGACCTGGGTCTGGCCGGTTGTCTTCTGCCAGCAACTTTATTTTGTTTTATTTTTATCTTTATTTACTTTTTTGCCATCAACTTTAAGCTGGTTCTTTGAAAGAATTAATAAGATCAATAAACCACAGGCCAGACTTATCCAAAAGAAAAGAGAAAGGACCCAAATTAATAAAATTATGAATGAAAGGGGAGAGATCATGACTAACACCAAGGAAATAGAAACAATTATTAGAAATTATTATCAACAACTATATGCCAATAAATTAATGGAGAATGGCATATAGAAGAAATGGATGCCTTCCTGGAAACCTATAAATTGCCAAGACTGAAACAAGAAGAAATTGACAACATGAATAGGCCAATAACCAGTAACGAGATTGAAGCAGTGATCAAAAACCTCCCAAAAAATAAGAGTCCAGGTCCTGATGGATTCCCTAGGGAATTCTACCAAACATTCAAAGAAGAAATAATACCTATTCTGAAGTTGTTTCAAAAAAATAGAACCAGAAGGAAAGCTCCCAGACTCATTCTATGAGGCCAGCATTACTTTAATCCCCAAACCAGGCAAAGACCCCATCAAAAAGGAGAATTTCTGACCAATATCCCTGATGAATATGGTTTCCAAAATTCTCAACAAAATCCCAGCTAAGAGGATCCAACAATAGATTAAAAGGATCATCCACCGCGACCAAGTGGGATTTATCCCCGGGATGCAAAGGTGGTTCAACATTGGCAAATCAATCAATGTGATAGAACACATTAATAAGAGGAGAGAGAAGAACCATATGGTCCTCTCAATTGATGCAGAAAAAGCATTTGACAAAATACAACATCCTTTCCTGATTAAAACTTTCCAGAGTATAGGGATAGAGGGAACATTCCTCAAGTTTATAAAATCCATCTATGAAAAACCCACAGCGAATATCATCCTCAATGGGGAAAAGATGAGAGCCTTTCCCTTAAGATCAGGAACACACCAAGGATGCCATCAACTTTAACGTGAGGGAATCATGGATTTTCCCTAAGCCTGTCCTGATACTGTTCATACTTTGTCTTTTATCTCTTAGGTGTGAACAGATAAAACTGCTAGATGAAGTAGTGATTTCTTGTTTGTCCAATCTTTTTAAAAATTTGTTCTCTTATGTTAATTGGGTCAAGAAATCTGAGTGAACTTACCCGTGCTATTAGTGATCCTGTAAATCTGTTTTGTTATCAGGCTTAGGTGTATCCTGTTTGCCAATTTATAGTCAGTCTGCTGTCTTGCTCCCAGGTAATGCTGCTTTTAAAAATGCGTATTGCTGATACCGACTTCCCGACTTCTTTTTTACGAGTTACTACAGAAGTTTCACTTTTTGAGGATTCTGGAAAGAATGTAAAAAAAATTTTTCTCAAAGATTTTATTTTTTTGAGAGAGAGAGCACAAGTAGGGGGAGGGGCAGAGGGAGAAGCAGACTCTCTGCTGAGCAGGGAACCAGATTCAGGGCTCAATCCGAGGACTCTGGGATCAGGACCTGAGCCGAAGGCAGACGCTTAACTGACTGAGCCACCCAGGCGCCCCGAGAATGTAAAAAGTTTAAAACTAATCTGGGGCCTTGGGTTTATGGTGAATCTTCTCTATGGAGAAAGATACTTCCTCTGATACCACTCGCCCTCCTCCTGTCTTTGTCTAATTTAAGTGCTAGCGCGTGTTCTGACGTGGTGTAGCTAACTATTCATTTCTACCTACTCACGTGTGCCACCAAGCTCGATATTCTGTTATACCTGTAGTAGTGTCTGAAGTACCGCTAGCCGGATTCCCACGTGTGCTCACTGCGGTTGTACGCAGCCTTCGCTGGTGTCTGAGGAACTCGGTAGCATGGCCGAGCTGAGGAGAAGCCCCCACCTAGGCTAAAAAGCGTCTGCGTGGTCAGGCCTGAGCAACAATGAAGGCCCAGCTGCTGTGAGGGCAGAGTTGCTTTTGTACAGCGTCCTGTCCCTCACTCTCTCACTGGAACATCTTCTCCTGATGCATGGAAGAAGGGCCAGGCACCTGAACGATTTTGGAGTTCCAAAATCCTTAGGAAAGTTGGCTTCTGTCAACTTTATATTTTATTTTTTTATTATGTTCAGGTAGCCACTGTATAGTCCATCATTCGTTTTTGATGTAATGTTCCACGATTCATTAGTTACGTATAACACCCAGTGCACATCACAACACGTGCCCTCCTTAATACCCATCACCCTGTCAACAAGCTTAAGGGGACGCCTGGGTGGCTCAGTCGGGTAAGCGACTATCTTTGGCTCAGGTCATGGTCCCAGGGTCCTGGGATGGAGTCCCAGGTCAGGCTCCCTGCTCAGTGGGGAGTCTGCTTCTCCCTCTCCCTACCCCCTGCTTGTGCTCTCTTGTGCACTGTCTCTC